CCCCGCCGCTGCATCTGCGTCTGCGCCGGCGGGGCCGTCGGCTGGGGCCCAAGGCTCGTGGTCGGCCGGCACCTGACCGCTCGCGCCGGCGGCGACGACGCCTACGAGTCGCTGGCGCGTCTCGTGGGGGGCGCTGCCGCAGGCAGACAGGACATTATCGGTCAGGGTGTCCAGCACGACGCACCGCAGGTCCGCGCCCTGCGGCGCCAGCTGCTGCTGCACGCCGCCGCCGTCCCCGGGGTCGGACAAGCTGCTGCCGCCGCCGCCGCCGCGCCGCCGCTGGCCTGCGGCAGAGCCTTGGGATGCGGGCGGCTTGGAGCCGCTGTTGCTGCTGCTGCCGCGCAGCTGCCGGCGGCGCGCCTCGCCGTCCCCTGGGTGTTGCTGGTCGTCTGCGGCGCAGATCGCCGTCCACCCCCCCGCCTCGCTCGCCCCCTCGTCCCCGGAGGCCGCCTCCTCGCCCGCCGCCTGCCGCTCCTGCTCCTGTTCCGCCGCGCCGCCTTCGGACGCGCGCGCCCCGACGCGCCGCCGCCGCCGTGGCCGCGGCGCCTGCGGCGGCAGCTCCAGATGGGGCGGCAGGCCGACGCCAAGCAGGAACATCTCAAAGGCTGCCGCCAGCAGCTGCCAGGTGTCCTCTGCAGGCGCCTGGTGCTGGTTCACAAACACGATGTTGACCGCCGGCAGCCCCGCTTTGACCACCGAGCTGAAGCCGGCCGCAGATTGGCGCCAAAGCTCAACGCAGCCGCTCACCCCAACCTCATCACAGCCGGGCCACTGCGTCTCGTCCCCCGCCGCCGCCGTCGCAGCTGCGGTGGCCGCCGCTAGCGGCGCGCTGTCGCCACCCCCGCTGCCGCTGCCCGCCGCGGCCGCCTCGCGCGCCGCAGCGGCGACGGCGGCAGCGCAGACGGTGGTGTGAGCCATGGCCATGCACTCGCCCAGGGCGCCTGCCACGGGGCCAAACAGCGCAGCACGCACCTGGGTGTGTGCATGTGTGTGTCAGGGTGCAGAAAGCGACGGCAGGCGCGTGTGACATGTGCCTTTTTGTTGGTGAATTCCAGCCGCTGCAGTCTGGCCTGGCTGCCAACCCAGAAGCTGGAGCGGTGGCGTAAGTGCACGCGCACGTGCGGACATGAAACACTGCACAACCCAGAGCGCGGCATGCACACTTTGCTCTGAGCGGTGCCAAAGCTGCCTCATGCTGCTGCAGTCTGTCAACCGGCTGCAGACGAAGTAAGTTGAGGGGTCGACCCCTCAAGCTGTGAGAAGCTGCCGCGCACCTTCCACGGGGCCTTGTCGGCGTAGAGGGGCACCAGGAGCTGCACCACCCGCGCCATCAGCAGCGGCGTCAGCATGCGCGCGTCGCTTTGCGCGGCGGCCTCGCGGGCGGCGGCCGAGCGGCTGCGAGGGATGCATGTCGAGCGGGTTGCAAGGAGCCCCAGGGGTCAGACAGGACCTGCCGGCCCGCTCAGGCGCAAACCAATGCATGCCGCTGATGATGACACGATCAGCGCGCCTCCAATGCACATCAGCAAAGGGAGCAATGAGTGCCGTGAACACACAGCCGGGTACCCAACTGCAACGCGTGCTGTGCCGCCGACAGTGCCGCTTGAGCTCAGTGCGAGGCGGCATCCTCGTAGCAGCGAGCGAACCGGCAGCCTCACCTGCCGACCCTGCCCAGCGCCCGCGGGCTCAGCAGCGCGGCCCGCCCCGGCCCAAACGACGCGAGCCCCGCTGCCCTGCCGGCCCCCAGCGGCGGCGGCGACGACGACGGCGACACGCCCGGTGTCGACCTGTGCGGCGGCAACGGCGGCGCCGCCGCAGCGGCAGCCGCTGCGCCGTGTCGTCCCATGCTCACGCCGCCTATGCTGCCGCCGCCGCCCTCGCCCGCCGCCGCCGCAGCTGCCGCGGCCGCCTCGGCGTCCGCCTTGCGCTGCTGCGCCGCCCGGAACGGGCAGAGCAGCCCGGCGAGCGCGCGCAGCACATCCGGCCACGCGGCGGCCGGCGCGACCGGCCCGCTTGCCACCTGCGAGAGCGCCGCAAGCGCGGCTTTCTGAACTGCCGGCAGGACGCCAGGGACCGGGGTGACGTCATCGCCGCCAAGGGGGTATCTGATGAACGCGTCCAGCCACCTGAGCAATGCCTGCAGGTCTTCCAGGTCGAACGCGTCCTTCTGGGCCTGTGTAGAGTCGATGCAATACGTACAAATTATGTCAATATGCATAACTACATACGGGGCTCAAGCATGCCGGGACGGCGTAGTCGGGCAAGGCGAAGAGCGCAGCAGGCTCAGTGCATGCAAATTCCTTTCTTGCAACGCCCGGGCCTGAGCACCGCAGGATTCCCATACTTGCACTTGCAGCAGTCAACCTAATAATTATGAGTGCCCCCTTTTTTCCCGAAGGCGGCCCCACCTGGTAGACGGCCACCAGGCCCGACAGCAGTTCGCTCCGCGCCTGCAGCGGCGCGCGGCTGTTGGGGACGGCCATGGCCGCGACGCCGGCGTCGACGGCGGCGAAGGCGCGCTTCCAGGGGTAGCTGCCGGGGTGGGGGTGCTTGTAGGACTGGCGCGGGGTTGGGTGATGGGAGAGGGGCGGGCGAAGGGGGCGGTTTGGGTGCGGCCAGCCGGCCGGCAGGACTAGATGAGAGTGTTGGAGGCGAGGGTCGGAGGGGCGCGGTGTATGTGATGGGTAAGATTGAGATCCAGGCGGCGGCGACGCGCAGATGCTTGCCCCGCACACCGTGAGTCCTTTGTCCCTGGCGCCCGCCTCCCCTGGCATTAACCTCGGACGGCTCAACCCTCAACGGTGACGGCGCACGCCGCCGCCGCCGCGCAGCCCCGCACCTGCAGCACGCTTGTCAGCAGCTGCGCCGCGGCCACGGCCACGCTGCGGCGCCCCGACGCGAGCACGCGGCCGGCGATGGACATGAGCTCGTCCCATTGGGCCTCGAAGCCGTCCATTGCGTACACTGTGGGGAGGTGCGCGCGCAGCACCTTGGAGATTCCCGTGAAGGCCAAGACTGT